GATGGCGTGTGAGAGTGTTATATAATGGCAGTGAGTACTGAGCTGCTGATGGCGTGTGAGAGTGTTTTATAATGGCAGTGAGTACTGAGCTGCTGGATGGCGTATGAGGAGTGCGCGTAATGGTGAGTACTGAGCTGCTGATGGCGGTAAGGAGAGTGTTATTATATAAATGGCAGTGGAAAGTACTGGAGATGCTGATGGCGTGGTGGAGAGTGTTATATAATGGCAGTGAGTACTGGAGCTGCTGATGGCGCGGTGAGAGAGTAAGTTATATAATGGCAGTGAGTAATGAGCCGTTGATGGCGTATGAGAGTGTTATATAAATGGCAGTGAGTACTGAGCTGCTGATACATGAGAGTGTTCTGATAAATGGCAGTGAGTACTGAGCTGCTGATGGCGTGAGAGTGTTCCTATAATGGCAGTGAGTACTGAGCTGCTGATGGCGCAGAGAGCAGTTATATAATGGCAGTGAGTACTGAGCTGCTGATGGCGTGTGAGAGTGTTATATAATGGCAGTGAGTACTGAGCTGCTGATGGCGTGTGAGAGTGTTATATAATGGCAGTGAGTACTGAGCTGCTGATGGCGTGTGAGAGTGTTATATAATGGCAGTGAGTACTGAGATGCTGATGGCGTGTGAGAGTGTTATATAATGGCAGTGAGTACTGAGCTGCTGATGGCGTGTGAGAGAGTGTTATATAATGGCAGTGAGTACTGAGCTGCTGATGGCGTGTGAGAGTGTTATATAATGGCAGTGAGTACTGAGCTGCTGATGGCGTCTGAGAGTGTTATATAATGGCAGTGAGTACTGAGCTGCTGATGGCGTATGAGAGTGTTATATAATGGCAGTGAGTACTGAGCTGCTGATGGCGTGTGAGAGTGTTATATAATGGCAGTGAGTACTGAGCTGCTGATGGCGTGTGAGAGAGTGTTATATAATGGCAGTGAGTACTGAGCTGCTGATGGCGTGTGAGAGTGTTATATAATGGCAGTGAGTACTGAGCTGCTGATGGCGTCTGAGAGTGTTATATAATGGCAGTGAGTACTGAGCTGCTGATGGCGTATGAGAGTGTTATATAATGGCAGTGAGTACTGAGCTGCTGATGGCGTGTGAGAGTGTTATATAATGGCAGTGAGTACTGAGCTGCTGATGTCGTATGAGAGTGTTATATAATGGCAGTGAGTACTGAGCTGCTGATGGCGTATGAGAGAGTGTTATATAATGGCAGTGAGCACTGAGCTGCTGATGGCGTGTGAGAGTGTTATATAATGGCAGTGAGTACTGAGCTGCTGATGGCGTGTGAGAGTGTTTTATAATGGCAGTGAGTACTGAGCTGCTGATACTTTGTGAGAGTGTTTTATAATGGCAGTGAGTGCTGAGCTGCTGATACTTTGTGAGAGTGTTTTATAATGGCAGTGAGTACTGAGCTGCTGATACTTTGTGAGAGTGTTGTATAATGGCAGTGAGTACTGAGCTGCTGATGGCGTATGAGAGTGTTAAATAATGGCAGTGAGTACTGAGCTGCTGATGGCGTGTGAGAGTGTTATATAATGGCAGTGAGTACTGAGCTGCTGATGGCGTATGAGAGTGTTATATAATGGCAGTGAGTACTGAGCTGATGACATTTGTTTGATGTGTGAGCGTAGTACATGTAAACTTTAAAAACATAACTATATCCTTCTCAACCCATAGTATGGGCGTAACCACTGTTATACAAATATACCTAAACATGTATACAAAATGGTGTATAGGTTGGGAAAATAATGGACCGCTATTATTGAAATCTCTGCTTAGGATCAGGGAATGGTTCAGGTAGTTGCTATATTTTCCCAATTCTGAGCTATAACTTGGAAAATGACATGCAGTACTGTAGTTATACCACTAGGTGGCATTTCCTGTACATATTATTGCAGACAACCACACTGAAACTATAATTCTCCACTGGGCTGCCTTAGGGAAGCCAAAAAAAAGGGATTGGAGGCACACCCGAAAATGCATTGCTTAGTAGTGATGCTGCCATAAAATCTCTGGGAAGCCACTAGAGGGGGTTATAAACTTGAAAATGCCTGCACTGTCCAGTATTTTATATTAAAAGTAGCGAAGGGAAAGAGACACAAATGCACCAGGGGGTTAAACGATGTTGTGCAAATCTGGAGGAGGGGGGGACTAGAGAAGAAAAGTCAACAATAAAGTTAAGACTGCCTGATTTTAAAACGGAATTTGTATTTTACACGTGGGAGACCGGGTCATCCAAAAAAGGTTTGTCATACACAAGGAGCGCAGTGTACAGGTAGTGACAGGCACTGAGCTGTATGTATGACTGTAGTATTACAGTCCACGGGACAGAGGACATTACAAGTAGATACATGAAGAGTTTAAAGGAACAGTCCACACATATAAAGCACTGCTATATGTGTCAGGAGCATCTCATGTCATTCACAGTTTATAAAATGCTGAATTCCAATGGGTGTCAATCCGTGTAAACGTTATGTGTGATTCCTTCTGTAAATAACATACATTACACTAGAAGTATTTTTCTCTTATGTTTCAGGCAGGAATTTTACCTTTGTTGTTTGTGTTGGGGAAGAGTTTTCTCCTCCATCCTTTTATAGTGAGGGTAGTAAGTGGCAAGAGGGGAGTATAATTATTTAACTATGTAAGAAAAGGAAAATCTAAAAAAACTATTTATGACCGCGCCACTTTAAGTGATTTCAGAAATGATTAGTTGTTTGGTGCTAGTCCTAATCCTGAAATCAACTACAGCACCATTTGCTGGACTCAACTATCTAAGCCCATGCTTTTAATGCCTATTTTAAAGGGTCTTTATAAGCACTTTGCATAGTACAGTGGTTCTCAAACCAGTCCTCGTGGCCCACCAACAGCCCAGAATTTTTGTATTTCCCTGTTTTATTCCAAAGGAGATAGTGACAAATCCAAGACTGCTGGTGGGTCTTGAGTGCTGGTTTGTGAAACACTGACAGAGTCCAACCAAACTGAGTGCCATCTAATGTGGGGGTTTGTCATCTCATGCAATGTGGAATATGTCAGATACTCCACATTTTCCTTCAGTTGCTTTTAACAATCTTTTCAGTTTCATCTTTTTGTCTGTCCTGATGTTTCTCTTTCCTGCCCGTTAGTCTTTTTCCACTGTCCCTCCGCCTGGGTGCAGGTATGGGATTGCAATATGTGTCAACGGTTGCGTATGGGGTATCTGCATGCGTGTGATTATGTGTTGTGTACGTGGGGGAGGCTGTGCGTTCTGTCTATGGCGATTTAATTACCCCAATTTCATTTACATGCCCATTTCATAATGCGAGGTGGCCATGCATGTCTGCCGTGCCCGTGTAATAAAATATGAGGTGACCTTCCCCCACCCCATTTAATACAATCAGGGTTATTTCACATTTTAAGATTAAAATAGCTAACTGGAAAAATTCTCTGTCTGCTTTGCTTTCAGTTCAGCTCCTCTGGCCTTAAATGTGAAATTCACTTAGAATCCTGAATGTGTTTAGCATGTTTCCCACATCTAGGCCAACAATGGAAGAAGGAGACGATCAGGCTCCAGTAATCATTATGTTTGGCTATGATAACGAGGCTAAAACTAATCGCTCTCTCCAGATCAGTTTGTGGAGCAGATCCAATGAGTGAAATGAGCTTTATCCAGTGTTCCCAACTCACTTGGCCAGACACTGTTATTGCCGTGACAAACCTAACAAGCAAGTGAAGTACCTCCAGGCTTGTGCCTACTCAGCCAAATGGCAGATATAATGTAAAACATTGCAATTTTTTTTTTTTTTGCTTTTTATTTTAGAAACGGCAATGTTTGCAGTCCGGGTTAAATCCACCTTTAGTGACTGTTTTTCTGTCAGCCGCTAGTGGTGCATTTACTGAACTGACTAAGTAAAACTTGGGTATATGAAGCAGATGGTCTTAGGAAAGCATTGATTACAGTGCCAACCTAGGGGTAAGTCGTGCAGGCACCTCTATTAGAAGCATTGGATTGGATCATGCCTCCTCCATGATGTTGCAGAAGGCCGAGAGGTGAGCAGTGTCGAAGGAGCATTGGAACTAAAACTTATCATTTATTAATATTATTGCAAATGGGGAGGGGTGTATATATATATAAAATGACAGGGATGCTTATTCCTAATGCTATAGTGCTCCTTAATTACAAATAAAAAAAGATATATTTTATTGACACTTTCCCTGTAACAAAGAAGCAGTCTGGACACCAACAAGTAACCATTTGATTTTAGCCTCATATTCACGTTGTGCTATTCTGCCCATTCAAATAGTTTTAGTTTTGCAGAAACAAAAAGAAAGTTTTGTGACTTTCTGCACGGTAAACCCAACCCCTTAGTCACAAACCGTTTTCACACACAGTATATTCCTGATTGGAAGGTACTTGGGACAGTCATGTTAAACTGATCTCTTATAGGTTAAGCACATACTTACAATCATTGCAATACAGAAGGTGTGCGTGGCCATTTAAATTCAGCTCCTGCTGAATCATATCTGATTAATATTCTGTAATATAGTACTGAGCAAACTAAGCTTTAATAACCACCAATCTACCCATTTTACAAAAAACATTTAATTTAAAAAAAACTTGGAGTGTAAAAAATGTCTATATACAGCCTTATAAATATAAACAGCACAAAATTAAATACAGAAACAGACCGCTTTTTACAAAATGTGATTATTAAAAGCATTTTCTTTTAAATAGGGCACACAACAGTATAAATGGTTTTACGTTTTGTTTTTTTCCCAAATCCAGAAAGTTCAGCAGTATTAAAATGATTAACTGTGCGCAGTGGTAGTAAGTCGTCCTGGCAGTGGCAAGAATTCTCTCCTAAATGACGTTTTCAGTATGTTGGTCCAAGTCCATTGATTGCAGCAGCATTGATAAATATATACATTGTTTGGTTCCTAATATTTTAATAAATAGGTTTGGTTTCGTATTTTGAATAGAAATGGTGGATGATTGGAGATCTTGTTGGATTACACCTGGAAAGGTAGAGGTTTTTATTTATTCAGCAGGTAAAAAAGTTCTGCAACAGACACACGGTGCAATGTACAGGCCGCGGATATATACTGGGGATACAATATACATACTGCATATTTAATCTGGGTGTAACTACATATTTAATCTTGGGGTACAATGTGTAAAAGCTATATATTTATACAATGTGAACAGGCTGTGTGTTTAATATAGGGATACAATGCACAGGTTGTGTACCTAAAATAAGGGTACAGTCTGGTTGCGTGTATCATGTTGGGGTAAAATGCACATGCTGTGTGTAAAATTTTGGGGTACAATGCAGAGGCTGTGTGTTTAATGTTGGCACACAATGCTCAGACTGTGTTTTGGGGTGCAATGTGCACCGTTTTTGTGCTTAACGTTGGGTACAATGATCAGGCGGTGTGTTTAATATTGGGGTACAATGCTTAGTATGTGTGGTTTTATCATTGGGGTACAATACTCAGGCGGTGTGTTTTATTGTTGGGGTACAATGCTCAGTATGTGTGGTTTTATTGTTGGGGTACAATGCTTAGTATGTGTGTTTTATTGTTGTGGTACAATGCTTAGTATGTGGGGTTTTATTGTTGGGGTATAATGCTCAGTATGTGTGTTTAATGTTGGGGTACAAAACTCAGTGTGTTTTATTGTTGGGGTACAATGCTCAGTATGTGTGGTTTTATTGTTGGGGTATAATGCTCAGTATGTGTGGTTTTATTGTTGGGGTACAATGCTCCGTACGTGTGGTTTTATTGTTGGGGTACAATGCTCCGTATGTGTGGTTTTATTGTTGGGGTACAATGCTCAGGCTGTGTGGTTTTATTGTTGGGGTACAATGCTCAGGCTGTGTGGTTTTATTGTGGCGGTACAATGCTCAGTAAGTGTGTTTTATTGTTGGGGTACAATGCTCAGGCTGTGTGGTTTTATTGTTGGGGTACAATGCTCAGTATGGGTTTTATTGTTGGGGTACAATGCTCAGGAAGTGTGTTTTATTGTTGGGGTACAATCCTCAGCATGTGTATTTTATTGTTGGGGTACAATGCTACGGTTATGTGTTTAATGTTGGGGTACAATGCTCTGTGGCAGGTCATTCTTGGATTATATAGTTAAGGTAACGTGACAAGCTAACGATAGATTTTGGAATGCCTGTGAGGGAGCAATGTGCATCATTTGGTGCCTTTCATCCTTGATGTAGAATTACCTCTGTAGCAAATACACACTGCTCCTTATGGCTTGGCTGATTGTACATTGGGTGATAGGTATATCCTTCCTGGAATCCTCTCGGGGGTGTGAGGTCTGATTTAAAGCTAGTAGAGAGAATTACATTGTTTAGAGTAATGATAAAATAATTAATCTATTGTGAGCAATAAAACGTTGCAATGTGTATTGTGTATAAATTTAAACCACAACAATAAAACTAAACTTCTAATGTGTCCCAATTTTGTGTGAAAATCAGTGTGTGTTAATTTTATTGAACTGTGAATTATTTTGTTGTTGAACTCTGTGATCCTCATACACACTACTCTGCACACTACTGTGAGTTTTTTTGTTGCGGTGCTCTGTGATACATTCATGCACAACCGAACACTACTGTGAGTTTTATTGCTGTGGGGCTCTGCAATACATTCATACAGACTGCACATTACTGTGAGTTTTATTGCTGTGGAGCTCTGTGATACATTCATATAGACTGCACATTACTGTGAGTTTATTGCTGTGGGGCTCTGTGATACATTCATATAGACTGCACATTACTGTGAGTTTTATTGCTGTGGGGCTCTGTGATACATTCATACAGACTGCACATTACTGTGAGTTTATTGCTGTGGGGCTCTGCAATACATTCATATAGACTGCACATTACTGTGAGTTTTATTGCTGTGGAGCTCTGTGATACATTCATATAGACTGCACATTACTGTGAGTTTATTGCTGTGGGGCTCTGTGATACATTCATACAGACTGCACAATACTGTGAGTTTTATTGCTGTGGGGCTCTGTGATACATTCATATAGACTGCACATTACTGTGAGTTTTATTGCTGTGGGGCTCTGTGATACATTCATATAGACTGCACATTACTGTGAGTTTTATTGCTCTGGAGCTCTGTGATACATTCATACAGACTGCACATTACTGTGAGTTTTATTGCTGTGGGGCTCTGCGATACATTCATACAGACTGCACATTACTGTGAGTTTTATTGCTGTGGGGCTCTGTGATACATTCATATAGACTGCACACTACTGTGAGTTATATTGCTGTGGAGCTCTGTGATACATTCATACAGACTGCACACTACTGTGAGTTATATTGCTGTGGAGCTCTGTGATACATTCATACAGACTGCACAATACTGTGAGTTTTATTGCTGTGGGGCTCTGCAATACATTCATATAGACTGCACATTACTGTGAGTTTTATTGCTGTGGGGCTCTGTGATACATTCATACAGACTGCACATTACTGTGAGTTTTATTGCTGTGGGGCTCTGTGATACATTCATACAAACTGCACATTACTGTAAGTTTTATTGCTCTGGAGCTCTGCGATACATTCATATAGACTGCACATTAATGTGAGTTTTATTGCTGTGGGGCTCTGTGATACATTCATACAGACTGCACATTACTGTGAGTTTTATTGCTGTGGGGCTCTGTGATACATTCATACAGACTGCACATTACTGTGAGTTGTATTGCTGTGGGGCTCTGTGATACATTCATACAAACTGCACATTACTGTGAGTTTTATTGCTCTGGAGCTCTGCGATACATTCATATAGACTGCACATTAATGTGAGTTTTATTGCTGTGGGGCTCTGTGATACATTCATACAGACTGCACATTAATGTGAGTTTTATTGCTGTGGGGCTCTGTGATACATTCATACAGACTGCACACTACTGTGAGTTATATTGCTGTGGGGCTCTGTGATACATTCATACAAACTGCACATTACTGTGAGTTTTATTGCTCTGGAGCTCTGCGATACATTCATATAGACTGCACATTACTGTGAGTTTTATTGCTGTGGGGCTCTGTGATACATTCATACAGACTGCACATTACTGTGAGTTGTATTGCTCTGGAGCTCTGCAATACATTCATATAGACTGCACATTACTGTGAGTTTTATTGCTGTGGGGCTCTGTGATACATTCATACAAACTGCACATTACTGTGAGTTTTATTGCTCTGGAGCTCTGCGATACATTCATATAGACTGCACATTAATGTGAGTTTTATTGCTGTGGGGCTCTGTGATACATTCATACAGACTGCACATTACTGTGAGTTTTATTGCTGTGGGGCTCTGTGATACATTCATATAGACTGCACATTACTGTGAGTTTTATTGCTGTGGGGCTCTATGATCCTCATACACACTGCACATTACTGTGAGTTTTATTGTGATGCTCTGTGATACACTCATACACACTGTACATTAATGTGAGTTTTGTTGTAGTGGAGCTCTGTGATATACTCATACACACTGTACATTAATGTGGATCACAAAGCAAAAATATTCCAACTGTATTTATCAAGAAGCTTTTGTGTTAACTGTAATTATGAAAATGGCAGTCTATATGGGTAACCTGCATGCAAAAATAAACTATGCACATGCGTATACGTATACACACAAGATTATACATTCCTGACATACCGATCGCAGTGTGAACCCCTAATTTCTTCACTTTCTGATGCTGGGAGGAGTTTTTGTTTGCTCCCAGATTTCTCTCTCAGGCCTTCTTGGTTTGGCATTTTGAAATGTGTTGGTGAGATCAGGAAAGGCTCATTTTCCTTTAGGTTATTTTTGGGTTCGAGGTGGTTATTGTCCTTCTTGTTTATGTCAACTCTTGGCTTTCTCAGTGCTCGCATAAGAATTAATACTCCGCTTCCCATCAAACACAGGGTAACTAGCCCCAGACAGGCAGCCAGAGCCAGCGTGGAGGGGGGGTCAGACTGGTAGGTCGATGGTGTTGGATCCTGTACCCTAAATTCACAGTTGGAGCCCATATAACCCACAGGGCACTGGCACACATGGCCAGTGAAATGGGTGTAGCAGGTGGCACCATTATGGCAAGGGCGGGAGCTACAGGCATCCTCGCGCAGCGTGCAGTCTTTTCCGCCATAGCCAAGTGTACAGGAGCAGGTGTAAGTGTTTGCCCCATCCACACACGTCCCTCCGTTAGCACAGGGTCCACTGGCACAGTCATCAATGTTAATTTCACATCTCAGTCCAGAAAATCCAGAGCGACATCTACACACCACATTCCGCCCAACGTCCAGACACTGACCTCCTGAGTGGATTAAGAGGGAAAGGTTTATGTGAGCTTTGAGATCATTTATGAAGATAACAAGTGGTGTGGGTGATGTGTATACAGCATGGCACGAGACCCAAACATTAAACAAGAAGAAGAAATAAGCAGTCACGTGGAAACTGCAAATAAGTTTCTTCTCGTTTGAGGACATTTTCCACGTTTGTCCAAATACCTAGCTCTAGCTCAGACTGGCTGGTAAGATGTAGCTCCGCGAAGATGGGGATAGGGGTACACATTACCGAGTGGGTGTATTTATTAATGTATGGGATTCAGGATGACTTCTGCAATAAGCACTGGCTGCCAGAAGACTAGTGCCAGATGTGGCCACATGATTCATTAACTCGGTATTTGAAGTAGTTACAGTAACACCCAGTAATCAGGCCCGTAGCATTAAACATTGGAGCACAGTACTGGTTATGCCCTATAATATAGCTCATTTCTCCTTTATTAGTGTTGGTAAACAGCACAAATAGTGTCAGCCTACCAATTTGTTATTATTTACAGGCTTTTTCCCCATTTAACCCCTTAAAGACACATGACACGTGTGACATGTCATGATGCCCTTTTATTCCACAAGTTTGGTCATTAAGGGGTTAAACCAGAACAATGTGGGAAATGGAGCTCATTTATTCTATCCGGTATTTCCCCCCATACTGTAGATTTGACTTGCTATAATAAATGTCTGATTGTAATAAGTTGAAAGTGAATTATAATCTCACCGTTCAGACAAGGACTGCTTGAGCATCGGTCAATCTTCTTCTCACAGTTAGATCCGTGGTAGTTAAAGGGGCAGCTGCAGACATATCCACTCATGCTGCTCTTCTGTACACATGTTCCCCCATTGAAGCAGGGCCCATCTGCACACGTCATGGCACTGATGTCACAGTTCTTTCCGTAAAAACCCCGTGGACAAACACACCTGTAGTCATTCTCCAGGTCCTGACAGGAAGAAGAGAGAATATGGGGGAGAAAGGGAGTAGAAGGTAGAACATAATGGGGAAATGTGGAGGCCATAAAGAGAAGATATAATGGCAATATAAGATAATTGTTGTTGGGTAAGTTTGAATGGGTTGAAGTAGAAAATGAAACGGTTGTGGGATACACAGAGGGGAATTTTAGGTACAGTTTATTAGTGATAGTGGAGGTCGATGAGGTACAGGAGAATGCATGATCAAAATGGGGTAAGTATGATGATACGATGTAATGACAGAAGTGAACAAATGCCATGAGTGGGGTGATACGATTTGTATAAAGAGAAAATGATTAAAGAAAAGAGGGACAAAAATAAGTGGGAAATGGGAAGAGTGGGGTCATTAGAGACAAGAGGATAATACAGAAATGTAATAGTTGTTTAAATAATTTGAAATTCACTTTAGTAAATGACTCATCGGTGCATGCATTACTTTATATACACAGTTTTACTCAATTTCTCTCTTTTACCCTTACAGTATTGATATATAAATACACAGATTTGTTTACTAAAGGGATTTTGCTGACGGGCAGTATATTGCATATCCCCTAACCCCAATTTTTTTTTTTTTTTTAAGTTCTGAAAGTCTTATGAAAGGATTTGCCTACCCTTATAAACCAGCCGGGTACTCTGTATAACACAGTGCCAGTCTGACTGAGTATACACGATTATAAACAGGCCGGGTACTTTGTATAACACAGTGCCAGTCTGACTGGGTATACAACCTTATAAACCGGCCAGGTACTCTGTATAACACAGTGCCAGGCTGACTCTGTATACACCCTTATAAACAGGCCGGGTACTCTGTATAACACAGTGCCAGTTTGACTGGGTATACACCCTTATAAACCGGCTGGGTACTCTGTATAACAGTGCCAGTCTGACTGGGTATACATCCTTATAAACAGGCCGGGTACTCTGTATAACACAGTAACAGTCTGACTGGGTATACACCTTTAGAAACTTACTCTGTACTCTGTATAGAAGAGTGCCAGTCTGACTGGGTATACACCCTTAGAAACCTGCTGTGTACTCTATATAACACAGGGCCAGTCTGACTGGGTATACACCCTTAAAAACCTGCCATGTACTCTCTATGGAACTGTGCCAGTTTGATGGAGTATACACCCCTATAAACCTGCCATGTACTATGTATAGAACACCGCCAGTCTGACTGGGTATACACCATTATAAACCTGCCATGTACTCTGTATGGAACCCTGCCAGTTTGACTGGGTCTACACCCTTATAAACCTGCCATGTACTCTGTATAGAACTGTGTCAGTTTGACTGGGTATACATGCTAAGCTGAAAAAAAAATATACTGGATGAAGCTCTATCCAAAGACAGAGCCCCCTAGCTGGTAGATAAGAAATTACAGACAAACATACTCTCAAAAGGTGTCTAAATGTAGTGTGATTAGATATAACGGAGATTCCCAGCAATAGATACAATGTATTATACAGACATTTTAATAAATGCGGTCAATGTACAAGGTAATAAAGTTGTATAGTGGAAGAGACGTATATTAAAATATGTAAGTAGTGCACAGGGGCTTAAGAAGAAAAGTAGATGGTTTCCTCAGATAATCCTGTAAATAGAGGAAGGGTCAGTATATGTGAAACAGTGAACCCTCCTCAATGAAGTTAGGGTTCTCACTCACTTGTAATAAACAGGTATCTAGAGATGTTCCAAAAAGGAACCATGAATCTCAAGACACTACAGTAGGGTTCATGCCCTGGGTAGACTACCCAGACTGACACTGTCCCATTGAAAGCGAGTGTCCGCTCTCGGTGAGACATCATACTTTATTTATTTCTTGATACATGCTAAGCTGCTGCAAAGCTAATAAATATAAAATGCTGGAATACATAGAAACATAGAATTTGAGGAGCATTCCATGTGTGTACTTACATCACAGCTACCCCCATTCTTACATGGGTTGCTGGCACACTCATTGGTCTCGATTTCGCAGTTTGTGCCAGTGTAACCGGCTCGGCAGTTACAGGAGTAGCTTCCTTGACCTGTGTTGGTGCAGCTGGCTCCGTTGCGGCACGGCTTATGGTTGGTGCAGTAGTTTAAGTCCTGGTTGCAGAACAGACCCCCCCAGCCTTCCTGACACGTGCACTCCCATGGCTGGGTGCAGGATCCGTGGAGACATCCAGGGTAGCGCACACACCCATCGCACAGCAATCCTTGCCAACCCATACGACACTTGCACTCGCCGGGCACTTCGCAGAAACCATGGGACTCACTGCAGCCTGGCAGACAGATTGCTGTAAAAGAAAGATATACACTAAGGAATGTGGTTTTCATAAGCCCCGTTCACAACATCTAAACTAATTTAACTCCCGTTAATAAACATATAAAAGTCGGGCTGCTGAGTGGCTTGTTGTAGATCTCATTCCATCTGCAGGTATCTCCTACGTACAGGGAGGCAAAAAGCTAAAAGCACACTAAAACACCACACACCTGCAGATAGCTATAAATAAATCCAAATTGGGTATTCCAACACATTGTGTTCCACTTGAGTATACAAGATGTGTCAGATGTGGAACCTTATTTTCTGCTGCCGGAGGTAATTGGTGAAGGAGTTCATGCACACTTTACATCTGTTTTTACATTAAGCAATATGTATTGCTGAGCTTTTTTCCAGATCTGATACGTTGTGTATATGCAAGTGGAACACGTTGGAATATCCAATTTGGATTTCTTCATATACATTTATTTTATTAATAATGTATAGCGCTGGTTTTAAAGCTATCTCTAAGTGTGTTTTTTTGCTATTTGTCCTCTTTTGTTGAGTGGTCACTTTATTAACCGTTGAACTTTTATTTTATTTTTTCCACTAATGTTAATTTTACTTTTTTAATTTTTTTTTATCTATTGCCATCTTCTATGTCATATTCAGGCTCGGTGTAGGTGTTGGTACAATGCCCACCTGCAGGGCCTGCCATCATTTTGCAGCTTATCGACCTTTCTTTTTCATGGTTAACATGCGCAGTCTCCTGCTCTGTTTGGATTCCGCTCAATTTAATAGACATGCTAAAAAACCTGCCCTATTATGGAGTCATTCCACATCTCCAACCAACAAGCCCTCACAGGAACTGCCCAATTTATACCAACTGCCTAAACTGGGAGGCCTGCTGCATTATCAGAATGAGTCACATGTCAAATTATCCACTCATCCTGAAGTCGTTAAAATGAGTAGCATTAATTTGGGTAATAATATCTTGTCCCCCAGGACATGCATGGAAACTGGTTAGTACTATTAAAAGGAAATAAGATAACTAAAGGGGAATGTAAGGGTTTCTGAGGTAGATACAGCTCTCTCCTAGCATTCTTTGAGAGTTGTAGAGCAGCTGCACACGTGCATGGGAGATCAGTCCCCAGGGAGCTGAGACTGCTTTCACACAGGAGAAATAAATAGATAAAGCTGCCCATCTTTATGTGAATTAAAAGTCCAGGTCTGCTACACACTATACAGTTTCATCAGAAAGGCAACACTACATATAGCATAACCTTCTGCTGAAAACAAAGAGAGGACCAGGATTGGCTGAATTAATTCTGTCCCTGAACCTCGGATTTAATCCAAAGAAATTTCTAATACTTTTTTTTTTTTAATGCACGATTCTCTTAATGCATTATCTCCATTATGCTTCAGAAAATGCATTGTCCCTTTAATTGGAATTATATTACAAAATGTTCAGTCTGGTATTCATTCATTTTATCCTCCAACTTGACTATTTTGACCCACATTTATTGAGTGGATCATGAATCCTAGGGTTTCCACAACTATCATAAAAACTAGTGTAAACAAACTGCCTTGTTTGCTGAAGATACAATGAAATTCTATTAACTTGCATGAAATCAATCATCATTTAAACATTTTGGTCATAAAATCACCTGAATGTTGTGCGTATTGTGAGACCCTCCCCACTTGCTGGGCCCCTGGAGCCGCTGACAGATGACATGAAGCTGAGGATCAAACCTCAAATACAAACAGCACCTGCCTGATTAAAGGGGCAGGAGGCAGTATTTCTATACAAGCCGCCTGTCTCTTTTGTATAGAAGACAATAGCGGAGCTGGGAGATGTAAGGAGGGGAGGCTGTGCAGGCCACACTCTTTATTAATCTGTCCCAGCCACTCACAATGAAATCTGGTTAACAGCATATGCTGTAACCCCCACTCTATTCACTGCGGCCGGCTGGCACAGACCGTCCCCTCCATATGTTGCACTGTTCAGACCTGTGTGAGACCCTAACCCTATTTATTCAGACTGTTTAAGTGAGGATGGGATTAGATGGTAGGGGGGAGAGGGGTCATTCAAATTGAGAACATTTAAAGTTTAAGAGCACAGGAGTGAATTCAGAACACCCCAACTTACATAAAACGTTTGGGGTACACTGCTCATTTGTATTTGAAAAGATTCTCTTTTAAAGCCCTGGAGGTTTTATATTCCTCCTGTACTGACCTCTAGAGAACGCACCCATCTCTAGTAATTGATATCAATAGAAATGATAACCCCTTCTTTACTGGATTACAGTGGGCTTCAGTGTTTGTATCAGTGTCTTCAAGAGCAGTTTGTTGGCATTTTTGTTTCCTACATGTTTGCTGGGACTTACGTATTTCTACCATTTCCCTTTGGGCAAGGCCTGGCATATTATTAGATTGTACACGACATGGGGCAGGATTCGTAACTAGACAGTACGGAGACTAGGGCAAGGTCTCATAGGATGTAACTGGATAGTACCCTGACTGAGGCAGGATCTCATAGGTTGTTACTGGACAGTACACCAACTGGGGCAGGATCTCATAGACTGTAACTGGATAGTACACCAACTGGGGCAGGATCTCATAGACTGTAACTGGATAGTACGCCGACTGGGGCAGGATCTCATAGACTGTAACTGGATAGTATGCCGACTGGGGCAGGATCTAATAGGCTGTAACTGGATAGTACACTGACTGGGGCCGGATCTCATAGAATGTAACTGGATAGTACCCTGACTGAGGCAGGATCTCATAGGTTGTTACTGGACAGTACACCAACTGGGGCAGTATCTCATAGACTGTAACTGGATAGTACGCCGACTGGGGCAAGATCTCATAGACTGTAACTGGATAGTACGCCGACTGGTTTGGGATCTCATAGAATGTAACTTGATAGTACGCCGACTGGGGCAGGATCTAATAGGCTGTAACTGGATAGTACACCGACTGGGGCAGGATCTCAGACTATAACTGGACAGTACACCGGGCAGGATCTCATAGACTGTAACTGGATAGTACGCCGACTGGTTCAGGATCTCATAGAATGTAACTGGATAGTACGCTGACTGGGGCAGGATCTAATAGGCTGTAACTGGATAGTACACCGACTGGGGCAGGATCTCATAGACTATAACTGGACAGTACACCGGGCAGGATCTCATAGACTGTAACTGGATAGTACGCCGACTGGGGCAGGATCTTATAAGCTGTAACTGGATAGTACCACGACTGGTGCAGGATCTCATAGAATGTAACTGGATAGTACGCTGACTGGGGCAGGATCTAATAGGCTGTAACTGGATAGTACACCGACTGGGGCAGGATCTCATAGACTATAACTGGACAGTACACCGGGCAGGATCTCATAGACTGTAACTGGATAGTACGCCGACTGGTGCAGGATCTCATAGAATGTAACTGGATAGTACGCTGACTGGGGCAGGATCTAATAGGCTGTAACTGGATAGTACACCGACTGGGGCAGGATCTCAAAGACTATAACTGGACAGTACACCGGGCAGGATTTCATAGACTGTAACTGGATAGTACGCCGACTGGGGCAGGATCTAATAGGCTGTAACTGGATAGTACCCCGACTGGGGCAGGATCTCATAGACTGTAACTTGATAGTACCCCGACTGGGGCAGGATCTAATAGGCTGTAACTGGATAGTACCCCGACTGGGGCAGCATCTCATTGCCTGTAACAGATCATATGCCAATTGTATCTGGACTGGGTATTTTATAAGAATTGTGGCTGGTTGCCGCATACAGGATGGACTTTTTTTTTTTGTACTCACGCTCAGCACAGTACTCTCCTCTCCATCCAGCCAGACACAGCCGGCTTCCTTCATGGTCGCAGGTGTAATGTCCGAATGTATCGTCTCTAGGACGGCAGTAGTCTGAGCAGCTGTCTCCATAGTAGTACTCATCACAGGTTACATGATAGGAGTAACGTAGTTCACTTTGCTGCCCTGAATGTATATCCTGTGACCAATCTTCTCCTACAAACAAGCGTCGCCGTGTTACCAAGCGACTCAGGAGGTGGTCGGGGTTCTCTGAAAAAAATTCAATAAATGGCACGTGAAAGATAGAACCAGAGATGGCAAGAAGTATTATGGTATAGAAAGAAAGTATATTTACCAAGCTTAGTTAGACTGCTCTTATATTAAATGGTCATTTAAAATACCATAGCTACTCTAAATCACAGCATTGGTTATTGTTCACAGTATTCTGCTTACTGTGTCCCGGTCTGGCTAAAACAATACATGCATTGTGGGGACATCTCAAACGAAGCACAGAAAAATCCAGGAAATAAGCTATCATAGCTGACAGGAGGATTGATTAAATCATAAATATGTACATTATATTTATTCATTGTACACATTATAAAGTAACTGTATACATTATATGCCATATACAGTAACTATATACATTATACGCCATATACAGTAACTATATATATATATTATATACATTGCATACCGTATAAGTGTGGTGTATGGGGGTTAGTGTGGTGTATGGGGGTAATTGCAGTGTATGGGGGTTAGTGTGGTGTATTTGGGTAATTGCAGTGTATGGGGGTTAGTGCGGTGTATGGGGGTTAGTGCAGTGTTTAGGGGGTAATTGCAGTGTATGGGGGTTAGTGCGGTGTTTAAGGAGGTAATTGCAGTGTATGGGGGTTAGTGCGGTGTATTGGGGTAATTGCAGTGTATGGGGGTTAGTGCGGTGTATTGGGGTAATTGCAGTGTATGGGGGTGAGTGCGGTGTATGGGGGTAATTGCACTGTATGGGGGTAATTGCGGTGTAGGGGGATAAGTGCAGTGTAGGGGGGGTAATTGCAGTGTATGGGGGTTAGTGTGGTGTATGGGGTAAGTGTAGTGTATTGGGGTTAGTGCGGTGTATGGGGGTAAGTGCGGTGTATGGGGGTAATTGCAGTGTATGGGGGTTAGTGCGGTGTATGGGGGTTAGTGCAGTGTTTAGGGGGTAATTGCAGTGTATGGGGGTTAGTGCGGTGTTTAAGGAGGTAATTGCAGTGTATGGGGGTTAGTGCGGTGTATGAGGGTGGTAGGTGTAATAGGTGGTGCAGTGTTAGGGGTTAGTGCGATTGTATATGGGGGTAATTGCAGTGTTCGAGGTAGAATGCGGTGTATGGGGATAATTACACCCGAGGTGTTAAAGGGGATTGTTAGTGCAGTGTTAGAGGTCAGTGCAGTGTTGGGGTCAGTGCAGTGTTAGGAGTAAGTCTCTTGGTGTATGGGGTAAGAGATGCGATTGTATGGGGGTAATTGTAGTGTTTGGGGGTTAGTCTCTTGCGATTGTATGGGGTGATTGTAGTGTTTGGGGGTTAGTGCGATTGTATGGGGGGTGGTGCAATGTTAGGAATTAAGTGCGGTGTATGGGGGTAATTGCAGTGTTAGGGGGTCAGTGCAGTGTTAGAGTCAGTGCAGTGTTGGAGTAAGTCGCGATTGTATAGGTAAGTGCGGTGTATGGGGGTAATTGTAGTGTTTGGGGGTTAGTGCGGTGTATGGGGTGATTGTAGTGTTTGGGGGTTAGTGCGGTGTATGGGGGTAATTGCAGTGTTCGGGGGTCAGTGCGGTGTTCGGGGGTCAGTGCAGTGTTCGGGGGTCAGTGCAGTGTTCGGGAGTAAGTGCGGTGTATGGGGGTAAGTGCGGTGTATGGGGGTAATTGTAGTGTTTGGGGGTTAGTGCGGTGTATGGGGGTGATTGTAGTGTTTGGGGGTTAGTGCGGTGTATGGGGGTGATTGTAGTGTTTGGGGGTTAGTGCGGTGTATAGGGGTAATTGCAATGTTCGGGGGTAAGTGCGGTGTATGGGGGTAATTGCAGATGATTTCCATGCAGTGGAGGCAGGGATGCAGTAACCTTGAACACCTCATGCTTTACATCACGTTATTGTGGAATGGTTGGTCCTACCTGTGGACTGTTCAGATGTCTGTGTACTCCAGGAATCCAGGATTAGTGAAAAAGTGCCCTGAAATTAGAAATTTCAGTAATTGATATTACAAATCTTACAGATATTATTTATACATGCAGAGATCCGCACCCTCATTAAAGAGCACTGTTTAATATTCTCTCTGTAACCCAGAGACATGCACCCCAAGTCCTGAGAGTGGTCCACCCTAAATCCTGAGAGATGCAAACCAAGTGAATAGGGTGAAGAGCCCTAAGTGATAAGCACCAGTTAATATTCTCTCCGCAGACCATGAGGGAGAGATTAATGTGGTCTGCATCCGTCCGAACTCCAGAGCACCTGTTCCCCCACTGGACCACGAGGGATTATTATCCCGTCCCTGTAGAATGCTAAGCAAGAGAGGGGCAAAACATAGAGCACACACAAATACATTACATACAGTCATTAAACGCATTACACACAGTCAGCACACTCATTACACACAGCCAACACACAGTCAGCACATACATTACACACAGTCAGCACACTCATTACACAGTCAGCACACACATTACACACAGCCAACACATTCATTACACACAGTCAGCGCACTCGTTACACACAACCAACACACGCATTACACACACATTACACACACATTACACACAGCCAGCACACACATTACACACAGCCAGCACACACATTACACACAGTCAGCACATACATTACACACAGTCAGCACACACATTACACACAGCTAGCACACGCATTACACACAGTCAGCACACGCATTACACACAGTCAGCACACGCATTACACACAGCTAGCACACGCATTACACACAGTTAGCACACGCATTACACACAGTCAGCACACGCATTACACACAGCTAGCACACGCATTACACACAGCTTGCACACGCATTACACACAGCTAGCACACGCATTACACACAGCTAGCACACGCATTACACACAGTCAGCACACGCATTACACACAGCCAGCACACGCATTACACACAGCTAGCACACACATTACACACAGCCAGCACACACATTACACACAGCTAGCACACACATTACACACAGCTAGCACACGCATTACACACAGCTAGCACACGCATTACACACAGCTAGCACACGCATTACACACAGTCAGCACACGCATTACACACAGCTAGCACACACACATTACACACAGCAGCAGCACACATTACACACAATAGCTTCGCATTACACACAGCTAGCACCGCATTACACACAGTTAGCACCGCGCATTACACACAGTCAGCACACACGCTACGCAGCATTACACACGCATTACACACAGCTAGCACCGCATTACACACTGGCTAGCACCACGCGTACACACAGCTAGCACCGCATTACACACAGTCAACATACAGCGCACGCGTTACACACAGCTAGCACACGCATTACACACAGCTAGCACACGCATTACACACAGTCAGCACACGCATTACACACAGCTAGCACACACATTACACACAGTCAGCACACACATTACACACAGCTAGCACACACATTACACACAGTCAGCACACGCATTACACACAGCTAGCACACGCATTACACACAGCTAGCACACGCATTACACACACATTACACACAGCTAGCACACGCATTACACACAGCTAGCACACGCATTACACACAGTTAGCACACGCATTACACACAGTCAGCACACACCACATATACAGAGTAAACACAACCATCACATACAACAAACATTTTACACACATTATGTGACGACAAAGAGATAGAGAGACTAGGGGGCCGAGGTTATTCACTATTTTTTTAATTTTTGCCACTTAAATCTGTATAGAAAAAGATGTGACTAGAGCTTAGCTGGAGGATTTTCCCAGATCATCTTTTTTAGCCTCTGGTTTTCCATTTGGATTAAATTAGCAAAAAGCCTAAGTTTAGCGAATAACCCTCTCAATGTCAAAGGCTGTGGTGCCCAATCTGAAATTATTTTGTGTGTCAGGACAGTAGGTTTTAGTACCTTGTTCAAGTAGATATATTTACTTTACATTTCCATACCCCCTATGAATGTATTATTTACCTATACGTTTGTAAAATCACAGCTTCTAATAAAACTGGATTTTCCCTGGGTTCCATCCAGCTCACTCATTCATATGTTGACAGTTACGTCAATGGCTCCTTCCTGGTTTGACAATTCCTGGAACGTGGTGCTCTGTCCACCAGAAACCCATTCTCCTAGACCCAAATCTCGCTCAAGTCACTTCCTTGTCTGGAATGAATTGTTCCAAAGGCACGTCCACCTGTTGTAGTGGAGTGTGTGGGGTAACTGTGTTTTGATTTTGCACAGACCCATGGAATTGTCTGCTAAACTGCAAATGTTCTTCCTAATTTTAAAATTATTTAAATAAATTGACTAAAGAATATTAAAACAAATTTGATTAACAAAATAAATAGCCCAAAGTGATAGAATTTTGAACACTGGATTGCTTTATGAATTTATTTGAATTTGACCAATCTGAGGAAATTTCAAGTTAGTTAGTCAATACCCAAGTAGGGATCATTAGCCTCTAATAATAGGAGGGAGAGGTGATTGTCTGCCACCTCTCCAGCGCTCACTGCACTATCCCCTGTACACAGCCTAGCTGATGATGCTAGATAGACACAGTACAAGAAGGCCAGAACAAACACGTTTCAAAATTATTGTTGAAGAAAACAAGCGGGTCGCCACTCACTAATGGGGAAAGGTCCCTGCTACTTATGGTCATCGCAATCCAATTTTACTAAGATGGCAAATTAAGAATATACCAAAAGTACAGATCGATTGAAAACACATAATCAACATTTCAGCCCAATAAGCCCTGTCACATCTAACAAATACTTATTTTGCCGCTTACTTCAGCTCTATTGTTTTTTTTTTTTCATTTTGGACACTGTCACTTTAAATATTGGAGAAAGAAAAATAATGTTTTTTGTTATTCTTTTACACTGTCGCTAGTAAGTATGTTGTAAACAGATGCATACTCTGTATCTCTATTATATTGCTTAATGATTCTATTAGCACTTTATTATATAGCGTACTAGCCAGTTACTGCAATATATTTAATGTACACTACTTTCTTACGACTTTATTCGTTATTAATTTATTAAGATGTTCGATTTTATTTACATTGTATTTTTTTTTTTGGTGTATGTCTGTTATATAAAGAACTTAACAAATTGAAAACGTCTATTCCTGTTTGCAATATAAACATGTATTCCTAACACCTATACCCCTACCTAAGTAGGTGTCCACTCCTCCTTGCAGGGGTTTAAAAGGTAAGTTTTACTTACTTTACATACAGTGGGGTGCTGGAGTTCTACCTCCCTGGATGATCTCAGCCAATCCAATGCTTCCCCATAGGCAAGCAGTGGGAGGCTGGTGCACATGCACAGTAAAACACTTTGCTTGGCCAATCAATTGCTCTACAATTGATTTATTGAGTTATTTGTGATACAACCAGGTTTACCTCAGTTATAGCTGCAAAAGTGCCTCTAGTTCTACCACCTCCTGACAGCGCCTGGCCTACAGGCATCTTACCCAGAAACGTAAACATTGACGTTCCTGCAAAACGGCAATGTTTTCATTTGCAGGGTTAAAAAAACATGGACATGGAACCAAGACCACTTCACTCATACTCTGAGTGCCTATAGAGACCATGTGTTGGTTTTTAACATGCCCTGGTTTGTATTGATGGTATTTTTATACCGATTTTAGAGTTATATATCACCATTGTATTCCCTATGAGATCACGTGATCAAGTAATCATGTTCTGGCATTGAGAGGGATAACTGACGTGTGAGATTTGACATGTCCGCTACTGACTCCTTACATTGTGATATACGTTACTGTTAGGCTTGATTAGAGCCTCTAACAATTCCTGTGTGTTTCCAATAAACCTTGGTTTGCTGTCTTGGTCTCCATCAAGGTTTCAGTGCCTATGAGATCATGGATACAATGCGTCATGGTCACATTTGTGCTGGTTTTGTGCGCATGCACCATTTTCTCATGTATGCATTGAAACACACATTTATATATTGGTGGATTTTTTCAGTGATGCGCCAAATTATTCAGTCTTTCAGCCATTGTATATTCATCCATTGTATTTGTCCCCTTTTTTTTTTTTACTGACTATTTTCTCTTCTGTGTGTGCTTTGGAGGCTCTTATAACTTGCTTAGCCTCTTTCTGCCTAATCTTATAGATTTGTCTGTCTTCCTCACTCTGTTTTTTTTTTTTATAATTACTAAATGCTTACTTTTAGCTTTTTACTATTTTGGCCATATCTGCGACGTACCACAGTGGTTTCTTGAATTTTCTGCTTTTACGGACAAGCCTAATGCAATTTTCTGTTGCCTTCAGCAGTGCAACTTTTTAATAATCCAATTTCTCTTGGACTCCATTTAAATTGCTCCAGTCTGATAATTACTCCTTTACACATATTCTAATTTTAGAAAAGTCTGTTTTTTTTAAAAGTCTAAAACTTTTGTTTTTGTATAGTGTGACTCAGTCACTGTTCTTATATTAAACCACACTGACTGATGATCACTGGATCCTAAACTTTCACCTACAGTAATATCTGATACCAAATCTCCATTTGTTAACACTAAATCTAGTATGGCCTCTTTACAAGTTGGCTCCTCAACGACTTGTTTTAGAGACAATCCCAGTAGGGAGTTTAGAATATGTGTGCTCCTGGCACAAGCAGCTATTTTGGTTTTCCAATTCACATCAGGAAGATTAAAGTCACCCATGATGATAACTTCCCCCTTTTTTGTAATTTTAGCTAATTCCTCAACTAGTAGATTAACTAACTCTTCTATTTGTCCTGGGGGCCTATAAATCACACCTACACGAGTTACTGTGTGATTACCAAATAAAATAGAATAAACAAAGTAATCATGAAAAATACAATTATCCTTCTTTTTTACTTACCGGCCACTTGAAGTGGAAGGGAACACGAATGGGACTGCTGCTTGCAATGGCACCAGGCTCTGCAGACAGGATACCACTAAGTGCCATTCCAAATGTGCATGGGGGATCTGGAGAAACCACGGGCTGGGCATGCTTCAGACACACGCGGAAGAAAAGGCGACAAGGTCTGTTGGAGATACAAGCACTGTGTGGACTACTGAAAGAATGGATCTTCAGCTCGAAAACTCCAGCTGGCTGGACCTGAGATCAAAGATGGAATAAAATAAAAGTCAAATCAATAAGACTTTCCTTAATATAAACAATGTATTAAACACTACAAATCGCGCTGGTGAAATAGGCAGAGACCGTGCAGTAAGCTATGAGCGAGCGTACTGAGTGCCCATTACTAGTCCTAAGGAGGACAGATATTGTGTTCAGAGGATTTCCAGTATAACACCACATCCTGCACTCATACAATACAGAGAGCACCCTCTATAACACCTGCACTCACACTATACAGAGCTCACCCTCTATAACACCTCCTGCACTCATACAATACAGAGAGCACCCTCTATAACACCTGCACTCACACTATACAGAGAGCACCCTCTATAACACCTGCACTCACACTATACAGAGCTCACCCTGTATAACACCTCCTGCACTCACACTATACAGAGAGCACCCTCTATAACACCTCTTGCACTCACACTATATAGAGAGCACCCTATATAACACCACCTCCTGCACTCACACTATACAGAGATCAACTTTTATAACATCAACTCCTGCACTCACACTATACAAAGTTTACCCAGTATAACACCTCCTGTACTCACACTATGCAGAGAGTACCCTCTATAACACCTCCTGCACGCACACTATATAGAGAGCACCATGTATAACACTTCCTGCATTCACACTATATAGAGAGCACCCTGTATAACACCTCCTGCTTTCGCACTATATAAAGAGCACCTTGTATAACACCACCTCCTGCTGCTCACACTACACAGATAGCACCCTGTATAACACCACCTCCTGCACTCACACTATACAGAGAGCACCTAGTATAACACCACCTCCTGCACTCACACTACACAGAGAGCACCTGGTATAACACCACCTCCTGCACTCACACTATACAGAGAGCACCCGGTATAACACCACCTCCCGCACTCACACTATACAGAGAGCACCCGGTATAACACCACCTCCTGCACTCACACTACACAGAGAGCACCCTGTATAACACCATCTCCTGCACTCACACTATACAGAGAGCACCCTGTATGACACCATCTCCTGCACTCACACTATACAGAGAGCACCCTGTATAACACTTACTGCACTTACACTATACAGAGAGCACCCTGTATAACACCACCTCCTGCACTCACACAGAGAGCACCCTATATAACACTTACTGCACTCACACTATACAGAGAGCACCCGGTATAACACCACCTCCTGCACTCACACTATACAGAGAGCACCCGGTATAACACCACCTCCCGCACTCACACTACACAGAGAGCACCCTATATAACACTTACTGCACTCACACTATACAGAGAGCACCCGGTATAACACCACCTCCTGCATTCACACTATACAGAGAGCACCCAGTATAACACCACCTCCTGCACTCACACTATACAGAGAGCACCCGGTATAACACCACCTCCTGCACTCACACTATACAGAGAGCACCCGGTATAACACCACCTCCTGCACTCACACTATACAGAGAGCACCTAGTATAACACCACCTCCTGCACTCACACTATACAGAGAGCACCCGGTATAACACCACCTCCTGCATTCACACTATACAGAGAGCACCCGGTATAACACCACCTCCCGCACTCACACTATACAGAGAGCACCCGGTATAACACCATCTCCTGCATTCACACTATACAGAGAGCACCCGGTATAACACCACCTCCCGCACTCACACTATACAGAGAGCACCCGGTATAACACCACCTCCTGCACTCACACTATACAGAGAGCACCCGGTATAACACCACCTCCTGCACTCACACTATACAGAGAGCACCCTGTATGACACCATCTCCTGCACTCACACTATACAGAGAGCACCCTGTATAACACTTACTGCACTTACACTATACAGAGAGCACCCTGTATAACACCACCTCCTGCACTCACACAGAGAGCACCCTATATAACACTTACTGCACTCACACTATACAGAGAGCACCCGGTATAACACCACCTCCTGCACTCACACTATACAGAGAGCACCCGGTATAACACCACCTGCTGCACTCACACTATACAGAGAGCACCTAGTATAACACCACCTCCTGCACTCACACTACACAGAGAGCACCCGGTATAACACCACCTCCTGCACTCACACTATACAGAGAGCACCCTGTATAACACTTACTGCACTCACACTATACAGAGAGCACCCAGTATAACACCACCTCCTGCACTCACACTATACAGAGAGCACCTAGTATAACCACCTCCTGCACTCACACTACACAGAGAGCACCTGGTATAACACCACCTCCTGCACTCACACTATACAGAGACCACCATGTATAACACTTACTGCACTCACACTATACAGAGAGCACCCGGTATAACACCACCTCCCGCACTCACACTATACAGAGAGCACCCGGTATAACACCACCTGCTGCACTCACACTATACAGAGAGCACCTAGTATAACACCACCTCCTGCACTCACACTATACAGAGAGCACCCTATATAACACTTCCTGCACTCACACTATACAGAGAGCACCCGGTATAACACCACCTCCCGCACTCACACTATACAGAGAGCACCCGGTATAACACTTACTGCACTCACACTATACAGAGAGCACCCGGTATAACACCACCTCCCGCACTCACACTATACAGAGAGCACCTAGTATAACACCACCTCCTGCACTCACACTATACAGAGAGCACCCTATATAAAACTTCTCGTAATTTCACATACTATAAGCAGAGAGTAACCTGTATAACAATTACCTCTGCACTTCACACTATAAGCAGAGAGCACCTGGTATAACACTTACTGCACTTCACACTATACAGAGAGTACCCGGTGGCAATAATTACCTCTGCACTACACTATATGAGAGTACCTGGTATAATACTTACTGCACTTCACACTAAGGCAGAGAGCACTCCGTGGCAATACTACCTTCCCGCACTCACACTATACAGAGAGCACCTAGTATAACACCACCTCCTGCACTCACACTATACAGAGAGCACCCTATATAAAACTTCCTGCACTCACACTATACAGAGAGCACCCGGTATAACACCACCTCCCGCACTCACACTATACAGAGAGCACCCGGTATAACACTTACTGCACTCACACTATACAGAGAGCACCCGGTATAACACCACCTCCCGCACTCACACTATACAGAGAGCACCCGGTATAACACTTACTGCACTCACACTATACAGAGAGCACCCGGTATAACACCACCTCCCGCACTCACACTATACAGAGAGCACCCGGTATAACACTTACTGCACTCACACTATACAGAGAGCACCCGGTATAACACCACCTCCCGCACTCACACTATACAGAGAGCACACAGTATGGAATAACTCACCTGCCCCAGTTGCATTCCTAGAATAAGGATCGGGAGCAGTAGCTCAGCTCTCATTGTAAAACAGGGATCAGTCCCACCAGGCACTATTACCCTGGGGTCCTGCAAAGCTCGGAATATTCTGTAAAGCACCCGAAAAAAAACTGTTTTGCCTGAGCTGCCTGCTACAAATCCAAGCCGGGTATTTACCCTGCAGGTCTGTGCACTGAGAATGGGTCAATAATGTCACTCCCGGTCATAATCCATCTATGGTTAATGCACTTGGCAAAGTAGAGTATCCAGATAGCAAAGTAGCAGAGCAGGAGTTCCAAGTATTGGCACAATCCAGGTAGCAGAGCTGTAATTCCCAGTAGCAGAGCACACTGTCCAGGTAGCAGAGCTGTAATTCCCAGTAGCAGAGCAGAGCACACTGTCCAGGTAGCAGAGCTGTAATTCCCAGTAGCAGAGCAGAGCACACTGTCCAGGTAGCAGAGCTGTAATTCAAAGTAGCAGAGCACACTGTCCAGGTAGCAGAGCCAATGTTTCAAGGCTGGGAGCTTATGATGTGTCTCTTCCAGAATGATTCTTTCCCAGTTTTTATACTGAGCCAACTGCTCACTGACTGGGACCCCTTCCCCCTCCTCATTTCCCCCTCCACCCTCTGCTCTCATCACCTCCTTGGAATATAAGGAGGAACCAAACACAAACAGTATGAACATGTGGCCCTGGGCCGTCATAAAGTGTCCGTCCCCCATACTGTCACATTATAAAGTGTCCCCTCATACTGTCACATTATAAAGTGTCCCCTCATACTGTCACATTATAAAGTGTCCCCCATATTGTCACATTATAAAGTGTCCCCTCATACTGTCACATTATAAAGTAAGTTCGCTCCCCCATACTGTCACATTATTATAAGTGTCCCTCATAATGTCACATTATGCGTCCCTCATATTGTCATCACATTATAAAGTACTGCCCCCATACTGTCATACATTATAAAGTGTCCCCATACTGTCAAGCATTATAAAGTCCTCATACTGTCACATTATAAAGTGTCCCCATACTGGTGCTCACATTATAAAAGTGTCCTCATACTGTCACATTATAAAAGTGTTCGCCCCCATACTGTCACATTATAAAGTGTCCTCATACTGTCACATTATAAAGTGTTCGCTCCCCATCCTGTCACATTATAAAGTGTCCCCCCATACTGTCACATTATAAAGTGTCTGCCCCCCATACTGTCACATTATAAAGTGTCCCCTCATACTGTCACATTATAAAGTGTCCCCTCATATTGTCACATTATAAAGTGTCTGCCCCCCATACTGTCACATTATAAAGTGTCCCCCATACTGTCACATTATAAAGTGTCCCCTCATACTGTCACATTATAAAGTGTCCCCCATACTGTCACATTATAAAGTGTCCCCTCATACTGTCACATTATAAAGTGTCTGCCCCCCATACTGTCACATTATAAAGTGTCCCCCATACTGTCACATTATAAAGTCTGTCCCTCATACTGTCACATTATAAAGTGTCCCCTCATACTGTCACATTATAAAGTGTCTGTCCCCCGTACTGTCATATTATAAAGTGTCCCCCGTACTGTCACATTATAAAGTGTCTGTCCCCCATACTGTCATATTATAAAGTGTCCCCCGTACTGTCCCATTATAAAGTGTCCCCTCATACTGTCACATTATAAAGTGTCTGCCCCCCATACTGTCACATTATAAAGTGTCCCCTCATACTGTCACATTATAAAGTGTCTGCCCCCCCATACTGTCACATTATAAAGTGTCCCCTCATACTGTCACATTATAAAGTGTCTGCCCCCCATACTGTCACATTATAAAGTGTCCCCTCATACTGTCACATTATAAAGTGTCTGCCCCCCATACTGTCACATTATAAAGTGTCCCCTCATACTGTCACATTATAAAGTGTCCCCTCATATTGTCACATTATAAAGTGTCTGCCCCCCATACTGTCACATTATAAAGTGTCCCCCATACTGTCACATTATAAAGTGTCCCCTCATACTGTCACATTATAAAGTGTCTGTCCCCCATACTGTCACATTATAAAGTGTCCCCTCATACTGTCACATTATAAAGTGTCTGCCCCCCATACTGTCACATTATAAAGTGTCCCCCATACTGTCACATTATAAAGTCTGTCCCTCATACTGTCACATTATAAAGTGTCCCCTCATACTGTCACATTATAAAGTGTCTGTCCCCCGTACTGTCATATTATAAAGTGTCCCCCGTACTGTCACATTATAAAGTGTCTGTCCCCCATACTGTCATATTATAAAGTGTCCCCCGTACTGTCACATTATAAAGTGTCCCCTCATACTGTCACATTATAAAGTGTCCCCCGTACTGTCACATTATAAAGTGTCCCTTCATACTGTCACATTATAAAGTGTGTGCCCCCCATACTGTCACATTATAAAGTGTCCCCTCATACTGTCACATTATAAAGTGTCTGCCCCCCATACTGTCACATTATAAAGTGTCCCCCATACTGTCACATTATAAAGTCTGTCCCTCATACTGTCACATTATAAAGTGTCCCCTCATACTGTCACATTATAAAGTGTCTGTCCCCCGTACTGTCATATTATAAAGTGTCCCCCGTACTGTCACATTATAAAGTGTCTGTCCCCCATACTGTCATATTATAAAGTGTCCCCCGTACTGTCACATTATAAAGTGTCCCCTCATACTGTCACATTATAAAGTGTCCCCCGTACTGTCACATTATAAAGTGTCCCTTCATACTGTCACATTATAAAGTGTGTGCCCCCCATACTGTCACATTATAAAGTGTCCCCTCATACTGTCACATTATAAAGTGTCTGCCCCCCATACTGTCACATTATAAAGTGCTCCGTCTCCCATACTGTCACATTATAAAGTGTCCTCTCATATCACATTATAAAGTGTCTGCCCCCATACTGTCACATTATAAAGTGTCCTCATACTGTCATATTATAAAGTGTCTGCCCCCTATACTGTCACTGCTACATTATAAAGTGTCCCCTCATACTGTCACATTATAAAGTGTCTGCCCCCCATACTGTCACATTATAAAGTGTCCCCCATACTGTCACATTATAAAGTCTGTCCCTCATACTGTCACATTATAAAGTGTCCCCTCATACTGTCACATTATAAAGTGTCTGTCCCCCGTACTGTCATATTATAAAGTGTCCCCCGTACTGTCACATTATAAAGTGTCTGTCCCCCATACTGTCATATTATAAAGTGTCCCCCGTACTGTCACATTATAAAGTGTCCCCTCATACTGTCACATTATAAAGTGTCCCCCGTACTGTCACATTATAAAGTGTCCCTTCATACTGTCACATTATAAAGTGTGTGCCCCCCATACTGTCACATTATAAAGTGTCCCCTCATACTGTCACATTATAAAGTGTCTGCCCCCCATACTGTCACATTATAAAGTGTCCCCTCATACTGTCACATTATAAAGTGTCTGCCCCCCATACTGTCACATTATAAAGTGTCCCCTCATACTGTCACATTATAAAGTGTCCCCTCATATTGTCACATTATAAAGTGTCTGCCCCCCATACTGTCACATTATAAAGTGTCCCCCATACTGTCACATTATAAAGTGTCCCCTCATACTGTCACATTATAAAGTGTCTGTCCCCCATACTGTCACATTATAAAGTGTCCCCTCATACTGTCACATTATAAAGTGTGTGTCCCCTCATACTGTCACATTATAAAGTGTCCCCCATACTGTCACATTGTAAAGTGTCCCCTCATACTGTCATATTATAAAGTGTCCCCCATACTGTCACATTATAAAGTGTCCCCCGTACTGTCATATTATAAAGTGTCCCCCATACTGTCACATTATAAAGTGTCCGTCCCCCACACTGTCACATTATAAAGTGTCCCCCGTACTGTCATATTATAAAGTGTCCCCCATACTGTCACATTATAAAGTGTCCCCTCATACTGTCACATTATAAAGTGTCTGTCCCCCATACTGTCACATTATAAAGTGTCCCCTGTACTGTCATATTATAAAGTGTCCCCCATACTGTCACATTATAAAGTGTCTGTCCCCCATACTGTCACATTATAAAGTGTCCGTCCCCCACACTGTCACATTATAAAGTGTCCCCCGTACTGTCATATTATAAAGTGTCCCCCATACTGTCACATTATAAAGTGTCTGTCCCCCATACTGTCACATTATAAAGTGTCCCCAGTAACTGTCATATTATAACGTGTCCCCCATACTGTCACAATATAAAGTGTCCCCAGTAACTGTCATATTATAAAGTGTCCCCCATGCTGTCACCAGTCTGGGTTCTTTTTTCCTAGTCAAGTCTGTCATGGGCTTTGCAATGGCACTGTACTGGGGCACAAATTTCCTATAATACCCCTCAGTCCCCAGGAATGCCGGCACCTGCTTCTTGGTTTGGGGCACGGGCCAGTGACGGATGGCCTCTACCTTGGCGGGGTCTGGCATAACCTGTACTAGTTGTCACTTCAGTCAAACGCTCGTTCTTCTCTGTACCTGCCTTCACTGGTTTAGCAACATTTTCTCTCTCTAGATCTTTTTCTTGATCATCTGCATCAGTTATGACTTGAGTCAAATCATCGAATTTCTTTTCACCTGACCTTACTGCTTTCTTTACTAGTAATATGCATTTCAGCTTTCTCTAGATATTTTTCTTGATCACTTGGTGATCACAATCCTCGCAGGCTAGGTTCGCTACTGCGATCGCTAGCAGCTTCCTCTGACTTACTTGGCCGCCAGTGGCATCCCTGTAGTCCTGCATTCTCTGGGCCAGTCAGATTGCTCGAGTTGACATTGTAGGAATAATGCTGGAAGCCTCTGGTTGTGGTTCAGATACTCCATTCTGCTGCTCAGCCATGTTTCGTCTCTCAGCTGCGGTCTGAGCTCTAGTGTACATCTCCGGTCAACTTTAGCCTCTTCAGATCCCTGTACTGCAAGTTATCCCTCTTCTGCCACCAGTCCGTGACGATACACACTAATATCGACCATGGGTACTTTCACTAACTTGCACAGCTGATCACTATACTAAGTGTTATGACCTGGGCTTGGAGTCCGTTTATCCACCAGCATTCACATTAAAGCAGGTCTTGGATAGTGACAGCAAGGAAAGAGACAACCAGCTTCTTTTTTGGTACAAACAGCAACAACTTTATTTTCAAACAGCGACTGCCAGGCAGATATCTCAGCATGGGGGGAGGCTCTGCATCTTCTGCCGTGTGACACATTAAATACTTTTTTTGTCACATTATACAATAATTGGGGGATAACGTAAAAGTGCAGAAAGTAATGATCATGGCTGTTCCACAATGGGAGCAATAATCAGAATTATATAATTAGGGCAGTACAATGATCTAGACATTAATAATGTATGTGTTATTCAGAACTCTGCAATGATCTTTAATACAGACTATCATCCTGTAGACTTGGCATTCATTATTGGATGAATAGCAATCTGGATAAAAATTGACTAATTTTGCCGAATAATGAATCCCCGAACCACACAATAGATTTAATAGAAGAATGAATCTATAGCGCAAAGACTAAAATTCTTCCATGCACAATTTGTTAATTAGTTCATTCTTGAAAATGTATAAAAATGCCAATATTTGAGAATACCAAATTAGGGTGCTAGTTAGTAGATAGTTTTCTAATATGTTACACAAGAGCTCCCTGA